TGAATCGGTTTATTTGTATTAAGTAAGTTACATGTACAAAGCTGATGGGGTCGGTGAGGCACAAATTAGCTCAACTTTCAACTTTGCCTATGCATTTGCGTCAAGTGACAACTATTTTTGCAGTTTGTGAAAATTTTTAGATTTATGGAAAAACGAAATTTAAAAAATGATGTGGGAAAACCTATTAGAAGAAGTGCAAAATTAAAACGCGAATTTCGCAAAGATGAGCAGCGAGTTTATGATTTTTCGGACGCAACGTCAAACGCATAAGCATCGTTGACGGTGACAGTGACGGGACGGCGACGCAATCGATGGTATGTACTTTCACTTTTAGCCATTTCTTGTACGTCATTTTATATGCAGTTTTTGCTTTTATTGAGAGCTGCATACTGGCTTTTAAGGTAGAAAAGGCAAAAAAAGGCAAATATCTTAAAAAAGTCAAAAAAGGCAACATCAAATGTGTATATATGGAATCAGGAAAGCTAAATCCTGGACATTCTTACTCGAATATACTCTATCTCTTTAGCAGAAAAGAAGGCAATTTCCAAAAAATCCTCTCCCTGGTGATGTACATAGCTGGCATCCATAATGCGTTGAGGACCATTGTAGCGATACATGATTTTTTTTCAAAAAAAAGTCGTAATTAAAAATTACAAAGAAAAGATAGAGCTACCTCAAAAAATTCTTTCTCTTATAAAATCCATTCAAATATCCTTTTTTCAAATCCATATCGTAATATTTCGCTTAGAAAATTTGGATTTCTACATTACATAACTAGGGTAATTCTCTAGTCGTTCTCGAGTCGATGACGAAGTTAGAGAATTACATTAGAATTCGATTCGAGAGCGATTAGAGAAACGCGCAATTCTCGATAGTTTTTCGAGTCGTTCTCTAACGCTCAAGAGGGGAGAATATGGCTAGTCCTCCAATCATTTTCTTATCGATAACTAACCTCAATGTTTGCTGGGTCCTTTCAAAAGTATATTTAAACTAAAGCATTCAAAACCCTATACCGTTTGGTATCAATATTTGACTTATTTAATGTTTATATGTATGTTGAATATTGTCGGACAACGAAGGCACTCAGTGACCACATTTTGGTATATTTCTCTGGAAGTAGTGGGGAGTAGTGGTAAAAATAATGAACAGCGGATTCCCAAAAAAAAAATAAAATTAACTGTCAAGTATTTATTAACACTTGTATACTTGTATGCCAAATTTATTTTTCTTATTTGTGCGCATTCAAAGCTTCCATTTTCAATTGTATAGAACAAATGTGGTCCCTAAAAATGCTATTTATGTGTATCATGGCTTTAAGACCATTCTAAGCACATCAAATATTTTTCAAAACATTAACACTTTAAGGATTTCCACAATAATCCTTTGGATTAAAATTTCAAAATATGTCTACATACATAGCAGAGGCACGTACAAATTATATTTAGTGTAAGCATGTTTGCGTTTAGTAAAAAAAAAACTATTACTAAAAAATTATAAGCTCTCAATACTTAACACATCGCAGTTTCCCCTTCTGAGTATGAACGAGGATAGAACCATTTACGCATGCAAATGCAATTTACATTCAAAAACTAATAAAAATATAAATAAATTTATGGCAATCGCCCAGAGCACCAAAACCAGCGGTACCGGCGGCGCCAACGGTAAGTTGTAGTAAATTATGAATATACGAAATTGGGTTAAATGCCAGTGCGACCAATACAATCACAATTTGAAGCCAAAGACAACGGTGAGTGGAGCAACGTACCAAAAGAAAATGTTCACATTTAAAACCAAAGAGTCACAAATCGAAAATTACACAACTTTAGAAGAGTCACATGAATATGCGGTAGTAGCGGAAGTAATATCTAAAGAGGCATAACGGTATTTTTCGTAAACTCACAAGTAATTTTAAGCAAAAAAAAAAACGACTTCATATAAAATTCAGGAGTACCGTTGGATTATTCATGATCCAATGATCGGAACTGAACCAAATTAGTATGGGACCACCCTTGAGGTACCATCTTTTCGATTAATAGATAATTATCGAAAACGGTTCGCATGGTCCAAACTTATCCGGTAACATGCATAAAAAAAAATATTCCGGCGAATTGATAACCACCTCCCTTTTTTGAAGTCGGTTAAAAAGGGGATGTAGAAAGTATTTCTACAATAGCTAGAGATCTGTACTGTCAATTCCTATACGAATTTACGCTAAAAATTCGATTTTGGAAAACTTTGAGTTGCGACTCTGTTGTATTTATACAGTGTGCGATATGTGTATGTATATTTATGTGTACAGTACAATTGTGAGTGGGGACAAGAGACCGTTGTAAATTTCTTTCGTTGCGCATTCCTGTGTGCCAGACAAATGTTGCAGCGTTTTTTAGTGCCACCTAGAAGTGCCTGAAAAATTACAGCGACAGTTCGTTGACATTTTCGTGTTAATTTGCAACACAAAAATTAAATAAAATAAATGAAATTAAATTTGCTTGTACTTACGTAATTTAAGTTATTTGTTTTTTTTTGTTGATAATTTTCGTTTATTTATTCAAACTTTGTTGTTTCGCAGTCTTTTATTCTCTCTCCCACTTTTTCACCAATTTTTCCAGTTTTTAATCAAATATTTGCACCCTTTGTACTGTTATATAAGTTTCTTGCACAACAATGGAATAAGTTCCGTTAGAACAGAAAATGCATTCACTTAAAAGTGTTTCAACTAATCAGGCCACTCATTCGTTCGCAATGCATAAAATTCTTATTCAAACACACAGATTCTCAGGACATCACTCACGACTCTACCGCAATAGCTCTTTCAAGACACTGAGACACCTTTTCCAAATACATATCTTTTCAATTCGAAACTTCACTTGGCCGCTCACCAATTATGTACCGTTTGTTATACGCAGATATAAAATTGTATTTCTGCCTCACATACCATTTGGCCAGTCCAATTTTAGTTCAAAAATTCACTTGAGTTGTTGCTAGTTTCTGGCTGTCTTTAATTTGCAAAAAATATCTTTAAAACTATTTTAAGGACGCTTTGCATATCTCGAGCTAATCTTCTTGTTTCAATTATTTTCGCTCTTTTTGTCACTTCTAAGATTCCAATTCACCGTTACCGAATTAGATTTAGAATTTTCGTTATCTTAAATGCTTGACTTCCATTCCACAGCATTGGCATTTGGCACTTTCTTCATTGGCGCTCTGGCGCTTTCACTTTCCCTTCTTTCCGGCTCGATTTGCCTCATTCCCAACGACAACTGGCTCGTTCGAGTTGTGTGGGCCAACTGAAGCCATTCGAAGATGTCCATGTCCACTTGTGTCTTCGGGCGTCTCACTTCTTCCGCCTCACTTTCACGCAGAGAATGTTATTCTGCTTCCCCCAATCGCTGCTCTACAAAGAATGCAGCGCAACTTAATGAAAACACACAATTCTTACACAAATATTTTACTATGGCTGTATGTTTGTATGGGCGTGTTGATGTGAGATTTGTGCATCTACTCCGGCGTCTCGTTCATTTGTTTCGAGGAAATTGTTGCAGCTAAAAATAGTGTTACGCATACGACACGTTGAACGCATTCGAACGCCGCGGCCAGAGCAACGTACGCTGCGGTCTCTGCGTGAAACAATAAATACACAAATGCATGTACTCTCGCGGTGACAAGCGGCTACCAGACGTTGGAATGGAAACGGTCACAACTCCTGCTCATCGTTCGCCATCAAATAAACGAATAATAACAATTTCCTATTGACGCGATTTTAATGGTTCTTGAAAAAGAAGAATGTTCGGGTAATTCACCTAGTCAAAATTATGTGAAAATTGGGACAGAAAATGCATTGTGCAATTCATTAAATTTGCTTTAAAAAATAAACGAGGAAAACAACTTAGCAAAAGGGTTGAATTTAATACAGCGATGGGCAGAGAGAGCTTTTACTCATTGCTCGCCTATACAAATTTTATAAAAAAAACTTAAAAGAGCTTTGCCCGCGGGCAAGGCAGTTCCCATCGCCGACTTAATACCAAGTCCCCACCGGAGCTTAACCACGTAGTTATTTCTGTTGAGTTGGTTATCCCGATAACGCACTTGATTTAGCGTGGTTTCGCCATATAAAAACCATTTCGCTGAGATGGTAGAAGCACATACATATGTACATACACTTTTAAGGGCAGGTTGCTCAAAGCCTGGTTGACACTAATCATCGGTTAACATCCTTATCGACGTTTTCGACTCCATGCTTATAACATGGTGACGGTAACGTCGATAACAATATTTAACCGGCGATTAGTGTCAACCAGGCTTTGAGCAACCGGCCCTAAGTCCATACGTCTAATAAGTTCATGCATTTTTCTCCTAAAAAATGCAACTTGAAGCTTTCACTAAATTATACAAAAATTTAATGGCTATAAATCTGCGTACTGAAAATACCAATTAAATTGGAAATTTTAAAACTTAAAACCTGCAAATTGCGAAAATTTTCGGAAATGCTTCATCAAACAAATTTACTCGAATAACTGCAAAAAAATTACGTCCGGAAATGCATCATGAAAGAACAAATTCGGTTGAAATGAATGAAAAAAAAAATTATCATCAAGTGCACCCTACGAATTGCAACCCGGTTTTTTCGCGCCATCTGTGGGTCATAAGCGTTAAAATTTGAAAAATACATTCGCTGCCAGTGTTTGGACCGTTCTGTGAGATTTACTCCGGCTTTTCAAAATGTTTTAATCTACCCTCTGCTCTGCCTGACTTCGTTCGTTTTTTCATCACTACCTCGAAACCGAGACGAAAGTCTGTTCGTTCCCTACCGGTGTTTGGACTACCCTACGACCAGATTAAATCTACTCCGGTTTTATAAGAAATTTGAAATCGTACATTACTTGAAATCCCTGTTTAACATTTAGTTTACAAAATGCAACACTGCGTGGTTAATTTTAAATTCCTAATTGGCAGCTCTCTCAAAACTGAAGAGTTTTATAGTTGTCTCTTTCGCACCAGCGAACACACTTTCAGCTGTCAAAAGATTTGTTACTCATCGTTGCCGCAAAAGTCATACTCGCCGCGTGAAAAGCCGCTGTTGCTAATTTAATAAATATTTTTTAAATAAAACTGTGTACGCTGATTTGATTACATAAATATGGTAAGTTAATATGAAAATCATTATACTTAGGCAAATGTTTTGTAAATAAATGAATTGTTGGCCAAATAGGGCGTGTTCGCCAAGGTGCTGATTGGCTCGGCCCAAAAAGATGTCTTCCAAGTTTTTCCAAGGATGAGTTATAATTTATACCCCTTTATTATTACTAATTGTTTAACTTATAAAGGAGCCTTATATTTTAAATGATTTTGGTGAAATTTTGCTTATAAATAGAAAAAATGAATGTGCAGTTGCACTCAACATAACCTCCAAAGAATTTTCTTGCACGCTCTGCTACCATATGACGACTTTGTTTTGTTGTGGGAGCGTTCCGTCGTGACTTTTGTGATGACAACATCTCTGCAAAATTTTGAGTCATGAAATTCGAAAAATATATACACTAATTGGTTTTTTCACTATTTATTTATCTGCAGCAACCGCAAATTGTGCTTTTAAAGGAGGGTACTGACACCTCTCAGGGCAAACCTCAACTTATATCCAACATCAATGCCTGCCAATCTATTGTTGACGCTGTGCGTACAACGCTGGGTCCGCGTGGTATGGATAAGCTAATTGTAGATTCCAATGGAAAGGCTACTATTTCTAACGATGGTGCCACCATCATGAAGCTATTGGAAATTGTGCATCCTGCTGCTAAGACACTCGTAGACATAGCTAAGTCTCAAGATGCTGAGGTAAGCAAATGTGAATGAAATTGAATGTACATAAATGCTCATGGTTTTACATTTTCTTAGGTGGGTGATGGTACCACTTCTGTTGTTCTCTTAGCTGGTGAAATTTTGAAACAAGTTAAACCCTTCGTTGAGGAAGGTGTACACGCTCGCATAATCATCAAAGCTATTCGAAAAGCACTGCAATTGTGCATGACGAAGATCAATGAAATNCGTACATAAATGCTCATGGTTTTACATTTTCTTAGGTGGGTGATGGTACCACTTCTGTTGTTCTCTTAGCTGGTGAAATTTTGAAACAAGTCAAACCCTTCGTTGAAGAAGGTGTACACGCTCGCATAATCATTAAAGCTATTCGAAAAGCACTGCAATTGTGCATGACGAAGATCAATGAAATGGCTGTACATGTCGAAGCACAATCCAAGGAACAGCAACGTGCTTTGTTGGAGAAATGCGCTGCCACAGCGATGTCTTCGAAACTTATTCATCAACAGAAAGATTTCTTCTCAAAAATGGTTGTTGATGCCGTACTTTTTTTGGATGAGTTGTTGCCTTTGAATATGATTGGTATCAAAAAAGTCACTGGTGGTTCATTAGAGGAATCCGAACTTGTATCGGGTGTGGCCTTCAAAAAGACTTTTTCATATGCCGGCTTCGAAATGGCGCCAAAATCATACAAGAATTGTAAAATCGCATTATTAAACATTGAATTGGAATTGAAGGCTGAGCGAGACAACGCTGAAGTTCGTGTCGATAATGTGAAGGAATATCAGAAAATAGTTGATGTTGAGTGGCAAATACTATACAATAAATTGGCTAAGATTCACGAATCTGGAGCCAATGTTGTATTATCGAAGCTTCCTATTGGTGATGTAGCCACTCAGTATTTCGCAGATCGTGACATGTTCTGTGCCGGTCGTGTACCTGAAGAGGATTTAAAGCGCACGATGAAAGCCTGCGGTGGTGCCGTAATGACCACAGCCAATGATATCAGCCCAAATGTACTGGGAAAATGCGACTATTTTGAAGAACGACAAGTTGGTGGAGAGCGTTTTAACATTTTCCAAGGTACGTTAATGCCTTCAAATAGATAACATTAATTTAAGTTCATTTGAATATTTTGCAAAAAGGTTGTCCTAATGCTAAAACGTGCACTTTGATTTTGCGTGGTGGTGCTGAACAATTCCTAGAAGAAACTGAACGCTCTTTACATGACGCTATAATGATTGTACGTCGTACAATAAAGCATGATTCTGTTGTTGCTGGTGAGTGAAAAGAATATCACTGTTATTTATTTTATTTTTTTATGCAAATAATGTTTAACAGACATTAAGAGTGTAGCTATAACTTGGCTACTTAAAAATTGCGTTTATATGGTTATATATATGAAATACAAGAATTTCGACAGAGTAAAGAAGATGAAATTGGTAAGGTAATATTGACTGGGCATAAGGTACCTTTCCAAATCAAATGCGGTTGGACATTATACGGTAGACAAACGGGCTCGATTATTTGCATAACCAGCCTTAATTTGCTTTAACTCATGCATTTTCCTCTTTAAAATGAGCATAAGCAGCCGAGCAAATGCACGAAATTTTTGGGAATTAACTCGGATCCGGGGAATTTTCGATGACAACACTGGTAAAAACGGCCAGTTGTTGTCTTTTGTGCAAGTAAGCAAACGAAGCAGACGATTTTCGCGTACGCGGTAGCGGAGTGGTGACAGTTGCGAGCTACAAGCCTGTAGCTGCCGAGTTCGATACTCGGTTGGAGCGATTGCGAATTTTTTTTTGTTTTCATTATTAATTTTATATTTTTTTATTTTATTTTATTTATATATTTAATTTTACTTTATTTTATTTTCATTTGCTTTATTTTATATCACATTTCTTATTTTACTATTAGTTAATTTTAATTTTTAGAGATGAATTTTGTTAAAAATTCAACAACTAACTGAAAGTAACGTAAAAAAATATAGAACTTATAAAAAAAAAGAATGAAAAAGAAATAAAAAAAGTATACTGGCCGTGGGACTCGAACCCACGACCTTGCGGCTGGTTTATTCGCATTACTGCCGTCTGTAAGGGTAAAATTTTAATTTGCATTTATGCTTATTAATTCAAATTAATTTTCTCCGTCTGTCTACCATATAAAGATGGCAATGGTTCAGTAAAGTTTAATGAACGTAAGCAGAGCGTATAAATACCCTCTGCACCTTTTCCAAGCAATTAATATGAACTTAGATAATTTACCGAATAAGGTTTACTCTTTTGGTCCAATAAATATGGTGGTACTTCCGGTACGAGTGTGATGTATGTATTTCGATAGGAATTTCTGTCATCCCTTGCCAAAAAACCAGCTCTGACCGTTCAAATCCGGACACAGAAAAAATCGGAGCTTAGTTTCTTTCAGATTTCGTAAGAATGCCACTACAATTCACCGAAGAGGCAAAGAATTAACTATGTATATTGTACTGTGTTTGTAAGCCCCACATATTTCGTTAGATGTAGATGCGATCTAGTATTGTTTTTATGTATTTATAAATTCCTTTAAACATACCGGCCCCCTAGACGATTTATTCGTCTAGTGAATGTGACATAGCCGCAAATATCCGGCTCGAAGGACCATGAATAACTCAGTGAGAGGGGAGACCAGTATGTTTGCATGTATGTATATAAAAACATATTTATTGGACCAAAAAGTAGTGGGTATGCACTGTGGCCAATGGTAATCAACTATTACGACCTCCGCATGGTTGTAAGCCATGCAGAGTCCGCAGAAGACTCCGGAATCAGTGTCCGGAGAATGCAACAAACAGACTAGGCCGAGCATACTTTGAAGTGCCATCTAATTGAAACTTAAGAAAGTTCAGTTACATAGCACGAATTTAGGCGCCTGGTGCTAGCAGTCGCGCCAGTTGAAACTGGCAACGATGTATCGTCAATTTAGCGATTTTAGCCAGTTGTAAACATCGATGGCANTCAGTGTCCGGAGAATGCAACAAACAGACTAGGCCGAGCATACTTTGAAGTGCCATCTAATTGAAACTTAAGAAAGTTCAGTTACATAGCACGAATTTAGGCGCCTGGTGCTAGCAGTCGCGCCAGTTGAAACTGGCAACGATGTATCGTCAATTTAGCGATTTTAGCCAGTTGTAAACATCGATGGCAAATATCGAATTTTGAACCGATATTATCTATGTTTCAAAAATATCGATGCATATTGTGCTTCCCTCATATTCTTAGATCGGCCGCTGTGGTGTAGTGGTAAGCAGTGTGCGCTTTCACTCATCAGCACCTGGGTTCAAGCCCTGGTCAAAGCAACATCGCAAAAAAAATATAGGAGAAGGTTTTTTTCTTAACAGCGGTCGTCCCTCGGCAGGCAATGGCAAACCTCCAAGTGTATTTCTGCCATGAAAAACAGCTTCTCATAAAAATACAATCGCCGTTCGGAGTCGGCGTAAAACTGTAGGTCCCTCCGCTTTGTGTGACAACACAAGTCGCACGTCACAAGTCGGAGGAGAAGCTCGGCCAAACACTAACAAATGTGTAAGCGCCAATCTATTATTATTATTATTGTGCTTTCCTAAATGCATGCAACTGTCGCGTTCGTATGTTATGTTTTTAACACCGGTCGTCCATGCTTCGTCAAACTTTGTTTATGATTTGAAAAAAACAAACATGACTTACTAGTTATAAATACAAATAAGAAATCGTCGCCCGTAAGTCAGAAACATGAATGTGTAAAAATTAAAATTTTGGGGAAATGAAGTTTGAATTTTTTTTACGAGTCTTAACTCTGCATTTATTCAACTGANAAAACATGACTTACTATAAATACAAATAAGAAATCGTCGCCCGTAAGTCAGAAACATGAATGTGTAAAAATTAAAATTTTGGGGAAATGAAGTTTGAATTTTTTTTTACGAGGCTTAACTCTGCATTTATTCAACTGAAATTGCAAAATATGTGGTTTCCGTGTACGCATGGTATTCTGGNCTTCGTCAAACTTTGTTTATGATTTGAAAAAAACAAACATGACTTACTAGTTATAAATACAAATAAGAAATCGTCGCCCGTAAGTCAGAAACATGAATGTGTAAAAATTAAAATTTTGGGGAAATGAAGTTTGAATTTTTTTTACGAGTCTTAACTCTGCATTTATTCAACTGAAATTGCAAAATATGTGGTTTCCGTGTACGCATGGTATTCTGGGTTTTGGTATAACACAGAACATCCAAAGGTTAATCAAGCCAATCCAATAACTCAAAATTGATACATTTGCACATTCATGCTTCTGGCATAAGGTTGGCGATATCTACTAGATTTTGCTCCCAGCTATTCCCGCGTAAACTTCGGTTGAACGTCACGCTACGTTACGAAAAATCGTCATGATGCAACTCTTGCGGAAAAATGTGCAACATTGCCGGGTATCAGTTGTTTTTCGAACTTAGCTGTATGAAGGAAAACAAAGTGGAAAGGAATTAAAAAACACTCATCATGTGCTTGTTTATAGTAAAATTGATTGATTTTAAATATTTTGAGGAAAATTATGGATTCTGATGCATTTGCAGTTATAGCAGCGGAGTAAGAGCGCGCTATGGCAATGGATTCACAAAGGTATGCGGAGCTGCCGGGCGTAGTAACCATCTATGTAAGCTTCTGGTTGAATTGTTGAACCACAAGCCAAAACTCCTACTATGCCTGAAGAACTGGTTCCCAATCCAGTTAGTGCAATAACAGCTTCTTTACACCACCACCAGGTACACCACTTGTTGCGCTTGCTTCTGCCTTCGGCCGCGCTTAGGGCTTATAACTCTTACTAAGTAGAATTCTCCTTTCTGTGTTGCCAGAGAAGAGGCGCTTCCGCATGTCAAAGGTATACAATATTTCTTGTGCTTATCACAGTATTTTCGCGCAGAAAAAAAATGCATAGTGCAAACCGAATTTATTAATAATTTGAGACATTTATTTTATATAAAAGTTTAATCCTTTGATTACACGTGTATGTTGAAGTTTTTGGATCCAGTTATGCGTTTGGACACAACAACCGAAAATCATTGTACAAATAACTAAACCCGGACCCAAGTTTCTCTATAAGGGCCAACAAAGATTTTCTTTTGCTCGTTTATCTAAAGTAGTGGATACAAATATACGCATATGCGAAAGGCAAATTTATCTATTTAAATAAACACCACTAATGTTTCCTGCAAACACACATCTTTTATCTCACCTCCGACACAGAATTGTTTTCGTACAAAATTACGCAAAAAAGCTTACTCATTCGTTTTTAGACATGCCATTTGTACGAATTTCGAAAGTTCGTAGATACGATTCGGATTGCAGCATACCATTTCTACGATTCGTAGCAAAATCCGAATGCGAAAGTGTTGCAGAATAGGGGTGCAGGCCAAGAAAATTAATACCCGTTATTTTCTTATCGTTAACGCGCATTACTAACGTCAACTTCAAAATTACATAAATTTCGCAGGCCTGTGTTATCAGCAATTTTTATAACTGTTTTCCGTCTGTGTATTTCTTTTCTGACTTCTCGTCGAATTCAATGAGGGTTTCCTGTTGTTTAAGCAATAATTTCGGATTACCAAAATCTTCTGTTTCATGGGTTCCTTGCATTTTTTACTCTCCTCTGCCTTGTACTTTCAAGTATTTTTCTGCCTCCACATTTTTGAACTCGATTTTTTCTCATTTAGCCTGTAAAAGATTTCCGCTTTGATGCGAGTACTCCACACCAGTACAAACGCAAATCTAACAGTTACGGCAGCGCAAAAAAAAAAACACAACAGAAATTGGTTAGGTAGCGTGGTGCCCCACTGGTGGCATGTCGTTTGCGATAGCGAACTTCACATTTAAGTGATTTATTTCTATTACCATGCCATAACTTGTGTTTTGTTAGAAGCCTAACTGCAGCGAGTGGTAAAAGGCCCAGACAAACAGCGGCAAATGTCAGCAAATGTGAATGGGCTGGTTGCTGCGCCATAAATATAGTTCAAATGTTGCTTGCTGTTGGGGCTGTGAAAGTAATGTTAGTTACATGTTGCTATTATTTCATTGTAAATGCAAATTCACTGAAACTGTTGCAAAATATAAACGGTTTTAAACAGGCAAAAAAAGAAAGAAACAAAACTAGTTCTGGGGAATCAATTAATGTTATCACATATATCTTTGATGAAGAAATACCACAAATGTTTCTTCTATTAGCAAGGTATTGTAAACTCAATATTCTACATCTCATACAATGTTCGAAA